GAGACTCCAGCGTTGCGGATAAGAGCGCTGGTGAGATGGTATCTCGTCGGCACACTCTTCGGTGAATGCTGATGCAACATGGATCGATGAACAACCTCATGTCGACCTTCAACCGGTGTCACAGTTCGTTGATCTGGTTCACGTAAACAGGGTTTACGTCATTTTCATGCAAGACGTTTAACATGAAAGAAAAATGAATGGCATTTAATAATCGTTTTCGATGTCTGTCAGCAGCCGATGACTCTATAAGAAAATCGAACTGAGACCGAGAGTAGTTTGAGGTCGTTGTAGATTTGCGACAAAAGTGTAATTGGCCGTTCATGTAGGTAGTTCATGAAATCGTCTGAGTCACCTTTCTTCATGAGAAGAACCGTCCTTGACATTTTTCACAATTTACATGTCTGTTTTGGTTGAACCACTTCGCAAAACGTTTCATAAGGCCTTTCAGCAGAACTACTCCTCCGTGTTTAAAGTGTTCTGGTTCCTTCTGTTTAAAGTTCTGTGCCGGATTTGACATTTTCGAACTTTCTGATCGCCTACTGAACTTTGTCTCAGGTGACTTTGGAAACGACTTCTGTGGCAACTACTTTCGGAGAAGTACACCCTGTTGCAGAACTTTGCGCAGATCGCGTCATCCAACTTCGATTAGCACTTCTGGCTCTTCTTTGGTCTTTCAGCGCACGCTGAATCCAATTAGGCGAACAGCTCGTTTCACTGCTTTCAGGTTTTTCTTCATTTTTGAAGTCAAAGCCTCCCAAAGTCTCCTTCTCCTGTACACGTGGTCTCTTGTACACGTACTTCGCTCAACTCCTTTCCGACCTCTTTGCACGGTGCAATGTTCATGTTATCCATTTTGCCTTCGGCCTTCAGCTTGGCTCTTCTAACCACTGGCTCTCTTGTTGAAGTACTCATGAGTTGGTTTCTCGTTGAATTGGCAGTCCGGCTTGATGTCCTGATGGCAGTCTTAAACAAATGACAAAATGGTCATAATCTTTGTTTATTCCTTCGCTGAGGTTCATTTCAAAAATCATTAATAGCACATTCTTCATGAAAGCCTCCGGATCGAATCGTTTCTCTTCAAAAACCATGATCTTTGGGCTGTTGCTACCCACTCCTGTAATACCACATCGGTCATAGCTGCAGTCTGGCTGATAACAGATTATATTCTCGTCTATAACCGACATATATGATATTATTCAACTTCCTGCCCGTTAGCACAGTCGATTGGCTCAGAGATTTTCCTCCGATGCTTCTTCATTTCTAGTTTCGCTTTGAAGCTTTCTGGCAAAGTTACGAAGAGATCTGTACGTTCATTTCCTTCGCCTTTACAGAATTTTCTGCCAAATATCTGTGTCCTTGATTCTTTTCCAAGCGAGTGTTTTGAATCGTCTTGTATAATCGTGTACGCGGTCTTCTTCTTCTTCTTCTCCACTTCGCCTTCCGGTTTCTCACAACATTGCCACATCTCTTCCTCTTCAGCTTGCTGGGGGAGCTGTATGCTTGGATGATATTGTGGCTCCTCCGTTGTTAACCTGTACAAGTATAACTGCCATGCTACATGATATAATATGCCATTTCACCATAAATCATACAGCCATCCTTCTTATCATGAACCAAACGTCGCCGCTCCGAGCTCGGTTCTAGAAGGCCTTTCCGTGAAACTTCTGGTCACGGTTGCTTTATTGCACAACGAGCTCTGCAATCTTCACGTCTCGCATATTCCAATGACGTTCGCCCTGATTTTCTTCGTTTCCGTGAGGTAGACGTCTGTAAATGTGTCGGTCGATAGTGTTCTTGCATCATGGCTGGTCACGAAGGTCTTGATGACGTTCCGGGTCCGTTTACCAGCCACGTCCTGTGGGTTTACCGAGTCGTAGGTGTTGCTCAGGCCGACGGTGTAGCTCGAACCTATTTTTTCGGTTTTCGTTTATGTCTGAGCGTCTTTTAGCGAGTAATTGCACTGTAGTTCATCTGGGGTGCCTACTAACTCTCGTGAGCAACTGTCAACGTCTCTCTATCCTTTGTTCAGCCAAAATCAGGAAATCCAGGCTTCAGAGCAGTGGGGCCGTTCGTGGAGCCTACCATCGCATTAAACTACCTGCCCGGGCTTCAGCACCACTTCCAGACCCTCGCATGCATATGGCTATTCCCCGCGACTGACCAAGCGATTTCGTAATCGGACCGTTCCAGCGTGTTCTGCGACTGCCCAGTCGACATTTATGGATCAGCTGAACCTAGTTGGTT